TCGATCCGATCAGGGCTAAAGTGGAATATATTCGTGACACATTACAGTATGTGGCGTATGTTCATATTATACATATATTAAAGAAAGTTCTGAAATAAATTAAAGCGCATTTTATATTTCAGTCAGTAAGGTTTTTTTATGTGCCAAGTCGGACATAAATTTTAATTAATATAAACGAAGCTTTGAAATCGCTGCGCAGCGAGCGCTCCATAATAATATCAAGTCCACTCGCTAGCGTACAAATAATGAGAGGGTGAGCAATATTTCGTCTAGATTTTTCAAATCCGATTTTGTTTTGCAATGGTGAACGACTGTTCAGCCGTTCGTGAAAAGGGGAAATTCTTTCAAACAATTATGTAAAGTTTTAAATTAGTTTAATTTTGAACGACTCCACTCAGCGGTATACCCTAGAAGAGTTGAGTGTCGCAATCCGTTGCGTACCGTAGACTTTTTCTGTCACATAAATCGCTTTAACTATAAGAGGTTGCGAAGAGCGACTTTCTACTAATAAAGCTTGTATACCACCAACACTATAAAAAGACTGAAAGCAAAACTAAACAAACTGACCTGCTTATTGATAAGTAATTATTATCTTTTATATCGATTGCTTATGAAAGTAACACATAATAGGGACATCCTTACTAATATTATAAAAGCGAAAGTTTGTATGTATGGATGGATGTTTGTTAATCTTTCAAGCAAATAGTACTAAATGGATTTTAATGAAACTTTACAATAATATAGCTTATACATCAGAATAAGACATAGACTACAATTTATATACATATTTTTATGTATAATTAATTTCAGCCTATTCTACGCGACTACGTCTGCGTAGAATAGGCAGTAGTATTAGTAAGGATTAGTAAGGATGTACTAAAATTCTATAAGATATGTCTAACTACACATTGCGTTTTCACACACTTGTAAAGATATTCTTTACTGTACTTTTCTTTTCTTTCACAGATCACTTTATTATTGAAAACGTTTTAATTTTCTCAGTAAAAAATTCAGGATGACATAATAACACACAAAATTTATTTTGTGTGTCATCCTGACATTTACACACATTAACATTTACATACATTAACACACACATTTTATTCGCCAAAGGAAATAATACACATGAATCGGTATAAACAAAAGTAATATTTCTTATTGGCTCTAACGTTTCACATTGATTCACAGGTTGTATTATAAAAAAAAATAAAGCATCAATATTTTGCATGAAGTATTAAGTCCGGATTCAACGTAAAGTAAAACATCCGCATAGTCTTTTGATCGTCAAAAATAAGATGACAACATAGGCTAAAATATGATTGGTAGGCGAAACGTGTACAATTTTTTGCTCTAAGGAAAATAAGCAAATTAATATAACTATTCTTTGCGTGTAAATTAATTTTAATTATTTTTCGTCTTTATAATTGAAGCTGCAACCTAAGTTAAGTTTGCGCATCTCAACACGAAGTCGGTTAGGAAATATTGAATGTTGACCGGATCTATCGGACTTCAATCTGGCCTCCCTCAAAGCTACCCCATTTCCCTTTACATTTGAAACGGGCGAAAGAGCGGTTACACGTATGAGGTATTGCCGGGTGGCGGGGCGCATGCGCGGCCCGGCTACGGCCCGACGAACCACTCATTAGAACCAACAGTCTCTACCCTCCGGCCGCCGTGAAAACTGCTTGGACCTGCTACGCTTGAAAGATCAACTCGCGTCATTGTATTCCCGATAGCGGCGCTGGTGTGCAAAGGCGGCTAGTCGCGTAGCAACTACTCTCTCGGGTTAGTGGCACTTTTTTTTCCTGCGCTCTCAGCAAAATTACTCGTTTCGGCCAAGTTAAATAATTGTTTCAAAATAAAGCACAGTTAATATACCATAAATTATTAACGAAATGTCCATCGACAATGTTACCACTTAATTTTTTTAAATAATTTGTAAGAAGCAAAGGCGCATATTTGAGAAAACCACAGCAATTTTTTTTGTTGAGAGCTTATTCGACCGTATCGGAAAATATCAATTTACAGCTATGCTTTTGTTTTTTAAGGAAATAATATCCTCTTTTTTCTGCATAACGTAATTGAAATAAAGTATCCGAGGTAAATGTAATTTTATTAAAAAAAAACTCTTTATTGTGGTGTGTATACTCTACTAAAATGTATCAGGTACAATATTCAACTTAAGTGAAATAAAAAGTAAATACATGTCAAATTTACATGTTAATTTTAAAACATAATAGCTACTGAATATCAGAATATACGCGCATCTATTTACAACTATCGTTAATTGACGTAGAAACTTACAAATTCATAACTTCTTAATGATCTAGAAATAGAGACTCTTGAAACATAGTACGCCTATAACGTAACGTTCTATATTGCGCAGAAATTAAAGTTGTATCATTAAATATATTAAAACAATTTTGAATCTAAGCTAAGCGAAGTGATAGGTCTGAGCGATTTTATTTTGAAAAAATTACTTTTTATTTTACCCAAACTAATTTTTAATAGATATGATTGTGAACTCCAAGTTTTAAATTTGCCGAAGTTACATGAAGTCTGAGTATTAAAGTTTATATACCACTAGTCCTTTATAGCTTTATCGAGAAGTGTTTAATTAATTTTTGAACATCTGATCTTTAAATTGAATAATTTTAAATTTAATAAAAATTTTATTACTCCCAATTGCTGGTTATTGATTCAAATTGTCAGAAACAGGATAAGTCTTATGTAATTTAAATAGGAGTTTTGAAATTTGATTGATTCATACCATAATTCATTTGAATTTTTTTAAAAAAGCACAGCTGTTCCAGTTTCAAATTTTCACTCGTAGAAACTCATTATGTACCACTTGTACTCAAACAAGGGCTGAGAGAGACCAAAATGGATAAATTAGCAACTTGTGCTCGAACTAGAGGAGAAAGAACTTTACACTACAAAGTTTTAAGTGCTCTTTGCCTGCATTTTTATTTAGGGTGAGGACGTAAAGTATTGCAACTAGTAATTTAAAAAGCGATGGAAAATCGCGAGAATGGCATTGTAATAATAACTTGAGCTGTTTTTGTTACTATTCAATGTTTTATTACTTTTATTAAGTCATAAGGAAGAATATTATTATTCATAATTCAAAAGAACCAAATTATTAGAATTAAATCACTGATAAACATCGATATCGAAAATGGTTTTACAACAAAGTGTAATGCGTTATATTGATATGAAGGTTAAATTTACAATAAAAGGATACAAATTATATAAATACAGACTAAAGATATATTTTAGAAGCGGATATTTTATTTTATTAAATATGGTTTTATAGTATTATCTCTTTTGTAATCTATTAATATTACATTTTAGATACTTAAATACAGAGATGCTAAATATCCACTGACTAATGTTATATTTCATTTTCAATCTGCTTAATAAAAAAAAACAATTATAGAAAGTTATAACTAATGACGCAATTGTAGTAGCAAAATTTACATACATTGTATTCGATTATCAAAAACGGATACACACAAGACAAAAACCTAATTTAACTAACTCCTTCCTGATTAAGTATAATATTCTAATTATTATTTGAAATGAACAGTACCATTAAATAATTACTTAATAATTAATACCAATCATAATTCTTACATTAACAAAACTATTATCAAAACTTTTATACATATTATAAAACGACCAAAACAAAATGCCATCATTGTAAGTCATTAATCATACATCTTAGCGCTTCATTAATGCAGGCAGATTAAAAATAATGGAACTGAATGCTATAACGGACCTGAAATAAAATTTGAACCGACCAGTAACAAATTTTGCGCGTTAAGTAATGCAATTCACACGCAACCTGGTTATTTTTCAATTTGTTGATTGAAATTTGTTGTGTGTTTACTGAGGTAATATGTCTTCTTCTTTATTCTTTATTGTACACAGAGTATAAGTGAAAACAAAGTTACAAAAAAAAAATGTACAAAGGCGAGCTTAACCCTAAAAAGAGTTTTCTTGCAGCAAACCCTGACATAAGAAACAAATCATTATATTATGATAGGTAGGTTACAATAATGTTACACTCAATTCTATGGAAAACAAATTTTCTATTAACAATTTAGTAAATTTGTACAGCAGATATAAAGTTTTCGTATTAAATAATGTAGCTAAACTAAAAATACCGTTTATTCTACGCAAATCATTTACGTCCTGATTTTCTTACAATTTTTGATTGATATTCCTATTATTCATATACGACGATATTCATTCCTTAAATAAGATAAGACTTATCGTTTCTAACCAATTTCACGGAATTGTAGAACAATAAAATAGTGTAAAGGCTGATTAAGGTAATTATCAAATAGTTGTGGATAATTAAAAGGAATTTTGTTATCAGCGTGATCAGCGTATGGGAAAAATACATAAGTTTTTATCTTAATTATTTAATGAAATACATTAAATAATTAAGATAAAAACTTATGTATAACAACTACCTAATGTTATTATATACTAGTTGCTCTTTTAACTTCACACACCCCCATCTTCGAACAAAATATCACTCATGTCTTCACCGCTAGAACATCTTAAGCAATATAACATATAACAACTTATAATAGCAACATCAACGAATAGCCTCCACCAAATTGATTAGATAGATATATATTTCGTAGGATAGCAATTGTATAGACACTAATAGCCGAGTACCCTCTGCAAAATCACTTTCAATGTACGTCGTTCGAATACGTTCAAGCTCGAATCGAATCCGACGTGTTGCATAGACAGAGGTGCAAACGAAGTTAATAAAGGCGCTTTCGCACGATGAAACTGAGAGTAGTGTAACAAAGCCTTTACGAGGCAGCGGCATTTCATGCGCCGTCCGACCTGTCAATTCTCCGGGCAAACGCCCGTGGCGAGTGCTGCGAGCGGCCGATCGACAATTATCGCACCTTAACTGTCAGTTGCAAATTGTAAGGCCAAAATCCGCAATAGTCCGGCGATTGATAGCGACAGCAATGGTGAGGGCGATTTGGCGAGTGAATTCAACGCGTGCGTTCATGTCCGACGCACCTGAACGGGATTCGGCAATATTTCGGTCGAGTTTAATGATGTGAAATCAATGTTCAGTTAGTTACACTGTGGCACTCAGCAACGTAATTTCCTGGCGCGGGCGAACTTTCTTGTAACAGTTATAGTGTTTCTAGGAAATTGCTTGAGAAAATGTGCAGCTGTTGCGAATACAAAGCTCCGATCGGAAAGTTGTTTATAGTTTGCCGCACTGCCTTTTTGTTCTTTCTATAACATATAAAGGTGGAATTTAGTTTAAACTCCCATTCTACGCAATTTCATCATTTCGTCTTGTACATTTATTATTTTAACTATTCTATATATTTTATTCTATAAAATTCTTTTTATAGTCAGACATTAATATTAACACACAATTCGTTTCCTTGTTTCAGGAAAAATGTCGTCGATTAAACTGCCATCGCTCGTAGTCAAATGACAATAACTAGAATAAAGGTAGGCAATTTGACGTTTGTTCTCCATTGCAGTGAGCAGTCAAATGAAGTACAAAATTCCCAACAATATTACGTAACATGAATTAATTCTTTGTGCGCGTACTCGTAATAAACAAATCATACAATGCATCATTTCAACATTCGTTTGATTGGCATTCCATACATTTACTCGTAGTATCGCGATACTCCGCGAAGCTCGTTATTTACTTCAGTCAGTCGTATATCAGCAAACTCAACAATTTCAATGTCACTTTATTAAGCAAATTAGGTAGACTAACACTAATATTGCGACGCGAACTTTGAACAGCGTGTGTTGCAAGTAGGAACTAGTTAGCGCTAAATATTTAATTGAGAGCACGGCTTATAATAGGAGTGGAGTTGTAGCAAAGCTACGTGTTTGACGTGTTCGCCGCAAATTGTACAACAAAGGTGAAGTTAACTCGTTGTTCGGTTGCACAACAACTGTCAAACTTCGCGTGTGATTCCAGAGAGCATTGTAGGCTTCCATTAATATCGCTACGAAAATAGCTCTTGTTGAAATTATTGTAAACGTAACTAGCATGCACAAACGTTTGATCATTTTGTTCCGTATTACGTTTCACACTATATAGGGCATTTAAGGATGCATATATATAGGGGCTAAGTTGTGATGTGTCCATCAGTGTCGGGAGCGCTGATGAGACAGTCGTGTCATCGTCTGCTTGAGCACCAGGCCGCAGGAGACGAGCCCCCGTTGTACTCGCCAATCGATCAAATTTCAGGTAAACACCGAGTCCACACGAGGGCTCGCAAACTTGCGCTCCGTTGCGCCTGGCCCGTGAATTTGCCCCCAACAAAGGGAGTGATTGGTTAACAAAGTACGCCCGGCCGCTCGGCCAGTAAGTGATTGACAGTGGTGCGCTTGTTTGCGGAAGCCCCTAATTCGATGGAAACTAGATTTTAATTTGATTAATTCGACACCTGCTATTGAACAGCCTTTGTCTACCGATATAGGCTCGATCCCGTGCATCAGTATCATTAAGCGGTGCTCGCGTTTTCAAACAATCCAAATGAAATTTTAAGTGGAAATTCACCAATTGTTCGGATTGTTAGGAAACACATTTTTATCTTTCACTGTATATTTAAGTGATGAAATCGAGAATATTTGTATAGTTATATCCATTGTATCCATAAACGTTTCGCATAAAATAGCATTCGATTCATTTTTGCTCGAAAACTAAGTATTTCGGGAGACTGGGTTACACAATATATATAATATACTGTTTTCAACTGAAACGAATTTCCAAATAATTGTTTTGTTTTTTAAATAGTTTTTAACCGAATGACATAATATAGAAAATTGAAAAGACTAACCGGAGCTCTCTATTCACAGAATATAAACTTGACTTGAATAAATTCTAGTTTTACTTTTACTTAGATAATAAAATGTAGGCCGCAATGAATAAATCAATACCATGTTTTCAAATGTGTAATTTATTAAATGACTGACAACTTTCCACTATATAATTTCTTGTGAACAAACAGATGACGGTGAGTACTAAGCCGAGCGGCGCCGCGTTGCAGTTATTCTTGTCGGCTTGATTCATTCCTCCACACCCATTAGCACAAAGCGAACAGTAAAGTAAGAGTTCTTTTTCATATCAAAATTTTCTTCCAACATTTGATTGCAATATGCCTCGGTCCCAATTTTCCTTGCAAGTGAACGAAGATCGGATTATAATAGACAGTAAGTTTTGCTCTTCTTTATTCAAGTGAATTGTTCGGCTTTGCTCTCCAGTGTGAACTATACCTATGTATACCATAATATTGTTTCAAATTGATTAGGGACCTGTTTTTCGTGGCCATTGGCACTAATTGGCTGTACGGTGATGACGTTGGTTCGATTTTATGCCGGTTACGTAAGAGTCATGAAATGTTATCGGGTGAAAGGGACTCTGATAAATCCTGGGTGTGCAATGTGTAAAGCATTGTGAATATTATTTAAAGCTCCGTAGCTACGGAGCCATTTACGTTCCTCAGTTTGAAAGAAGCCGGACGTGCTACGGTCGTACAGTAACAAAGCAGTGTACTACACTTTCGTAGCTTTTACTCAACGAAGCCGCCGAAACTTAATGTAGTGACGGGCAGTGCGTTCGGCAAACACAATAAACTTTAGACGTAACCGCACAGAGTTGCAGTATAGAAGACGAAGAGGGTAGGTATAAGATTAGCCCGTTGTGCAGCTGCGCGGCTGTGTTAGGTGAATAAACAAGGAGTTTTGATACAGTGGTACCTGATCATGTGGCCCGGGAGGCCGGCGGCAAGCTGACACGATATGCGCCGACGGAAGAGGACGAGGCAACACTCAGGGAACTTCTACTTAGGTACGTGTGACTCTACCGACATGACGAAAAACATTAGCTTTCCGCCTTTACTATTGGCTTAATTGCATTGTCGATTCATATTTAAAAAAAAAGTCTGTTTGTCGATGTATCTATTAAAAACATCTTTCACCTTGGCTTGGCATCCTAAGTATCTTGTATTGCAGATATTTTACCGATGCGTTACGTGGCGCCTCTGTCATTGCTCACTTTCCCTTACTTCATAACATCGGACCATAGACCACCGTACAACTAAGTACATTAGTATCGATGGCCATGAACTGACAGTGTCATGCTTCGACTAAGTGTCGAGCACAGCGTATTAGCTTGATATTCATTAATCAAATAAAGTTATTTTCAATTCTACGAATCCGTCCCGTCAGTGGACAGCATGCATGTGTGTGACCGTATTGTGTTCTTGTTTATCGTAGACTTACGAGATCTTTCCCTTAATTATTGAATCGTATAGAATACGCACAGACTTGTTAAACCGCAAACTATCATATAACCCAATTAGTATTGGTGTTGTAATACATCGTAACTAACTGCCCATCTGGATCCTTACACTGTATAGACACCTCATTGTACCGTCACCTATGGAATTATATATATTATTAGAATTTAATAAGTATAATCTACCAGACGAATTATTTTCTTAAAACATTATACATTACAATATAACTGTATTAATACAAACTATTTGTGTATTAATCAGTATAAATTGTTGATTTTATAATTTACATTAGAATTTTTATATCCAACCGCTCCTTAATGGTTTTCTTTGATTCATTTTATAGCCAAGAATAAAGATAACTTATCTTAGTTATATACTGATAGAAATATTTACAAACGCATTGAGGAATTTAGACTGCGTGATAGATCTATCTATGCATTGTTAGTTGTTGTGCTTCGTAAACGGCTGTTACAAAACCACTCACATTGCGAAATCGAGTCACCTGCCCCAGAGATAATAATACTTTTTCTGTATTGGACTAAGGATTAAGTTGAATAAACCAGCCTGTTCAGTAAATTTCACAGCGCGTTTTTCAAGGTATTTTCTGCCTCGCGCAACTTCGCACCTCTGTGGAATCAGCTGCCGCCGGCGGTCTTTCCGAATCGTTACGAACTGGGTCACCTTCAAGAAGAGAGCATACTCTTTCCATAAAGGCCGGCACAACATTTGTAAGCTCTCAGGTGTTGCAGGTATCCATGAGCGGTGGTGATCAGCCTCCTGCTCGTTTGCCGCTTTTTCCCAGAACAAAAAGATATAATGAAGTCGCAATCGTCGTGTTCAAACTTATCTTAATCAATTTTTATCGGAATCTTATAGGGTGTAAAATGTGCGGTGCTCATGTAATAAATATTTATGTAGTAATTAGTAATAATTAGTCATCTAATGCATACTTTTTATACTCGTACATATCGGACAAGTCTTCCCGTAGAGCTTCAGCATGTAGCGAGGCATAAAATTTGTTTCTTTGTTAATCTGAACGTTATGGGTGATCGTTGAAACTGAACCAGTTCTGGTCATTTTGCCACGAATAATAACCTATAATTTTCCAGTTTAACATGAGCTAGTTCCATTTAAGCTAAATTGAGTTTCAGTTCTTAAATATAACATTCGCTTTTCAACGGGGAATATAAAATATAACCTGACTGACGGTTACACACCGCTAAATTTGCTAGGCTGTTTGGCATCATTATTTCACAACATTTTCAATTGCTGAATGTGCAATATTGCTGAAATTGCTGAATGTGCAAGTATATGAACATCCAATGTTAAGAATTCTCAAACTGTGATCTTGATAATTTAACATACATTATATTTATCCACCCGGGGCGAGCAAGATAGTAACAACGACAACGTAATCTATTCCCAAGCAGCATGTGGTATGGCGGTGACAGGCACAAGTAGGGACCCATTTAGAAAGAACTATTGGCGCGTAATACGACTGAAGGCATAATATTGCACTCATAGCCGAATAAAAAAGCTCTATCTTAAATACAGTGTTCACGATTTCTTTAATATCAATAGTAAAAGAATTCTTCATTATCTGGGAAAGAAATTACTTTTCCCTTCGACCCCTTCAACCATTCTTCATCAATATTCGTCAATAGTGGTGACTTGGTGGCGTTGCTAAGCTATTGATGGCTTCGGCGGTCGTGGGTTCGATTCCCACACGGGATAAGTATTAATCGTAAAAATTGTAACCAAATCCCCTTACATCATCATTTTCCTGCCCCTATACTACCCCACCTAGGTGGGGTATGATGAGGGAAATAACTTATTTTTAGTTTCTTTACTTTTCAATTAGTGAAGCAAAAGCTTTGGATTAGCGATTAAGAGATATTACTGTCGAGTTCATTATAATGTTTAATGTAAGTTGGCAATAGGGTTAATGAAAACCACCGTAGATTGCGGTTTGGCTATTCAGCGATCTATAGATAAATGTTTAGTAGGTATAATATGGCTTCATTCAGGATTACACATTTTCAGGATCAAATTTGACAATGAATCACTTTGTGAAATTTGACCGAATTCCATATTTCTCACCAATCTTAGCAACAGATATAAATTATTATATTATATTTTCTGTACAACAGTTTGTCTTTGTCTATAACATAACAACTTTTGTAATGAATATAAATCAATACTATTCTAATAAAACATACGATCGATGGTATTGAAAACATTGACTCACATTTTAAAGTGGTAACAATAAAATGTCAACAATTCAAGACATCGATGTGTGACGTGAGTTCTTAAATTTTTGAATACTTAAACATTGATAACAAAAATGAAACAAAAAAAAAACAAAAAGATGCCTTCTTCGGAATAGAATATTAAACTTTTGATGACTTAATGTATTAATGTGTAATTCCTGAAATAATTACCCCCAGTATAGACTGGGCGCTTTTATTCATATAAATAGAAGATAGCTTGAGAATAAACTTAGCACCTGTTACTAATTTAAAAGTAATAACCAAATTTAACACCGAAAATAATCAAAATTAATGAAACCATTAGGTAGATCTCCGACTTCGACTGTAATTGACCATAAAACGTTGCTATATAGCTATTAACATGGGAATTTTCATGGGCCTAATATGTATACAGGGAGATTTTTTGTGAAGTGCCCAAATTTACACAGGAGGTTCAGACTCGGTAGTATAATCGTTTATTGAAATAAAAAACAAAGTATTTTTTTCCAAAAAAAAAAAAAACAGAACGTGTTGACAATGCGGTAGTCATTCTTTAATACCTAAATTTTACTGTGCACGAACTTGTGTGCGTGTTAGTTATGAATGATCGCACGAAAAATAAATGAGTTGCGTATAAATAACGCACTTTTTGAGATAAGTTCAAATGAATTACTTACGAGTGATTTTAAATATTTATCATTTTTTATATAACATTATTTATGTCTAGAATTTAATTTAAAAAAATGGGTACACTGAGAAAAGCCATCCTGTATAGCAATAGTCAATTCGGTTGCATTATTAAATGTTTGTTTTCGCAGGTTTAACTTCCGTGTAGTCCTTTATTAGTTTAATTGGTATTTGACCTTAGACTCAGGGGACACCTCAAAATCAAATATAAAATGCTTAGTGAGTGAGTGAGGTTTTGAAAAAAAATGTACTCGTAAGATAAACTATTTATGGGGAGAGTTGCATCCCATAAAACAATGAGAAACAACTCTCCCGCATTGTTTAACACTGTTTTATTAACAAAATATTTTAACCATTTTGGGTGCTTACGTATTCGTAGTTAAAGGGAAGCTATCAAATTAGCCGTTATTAATTTTAACTTTTTTATTAAATTTAAATATTCCAAAACGTAACGAGAAAATCATAGAAAAATCATTTTGTAAATTGTGCGGTTTCCCCCGACACTCATTCATTTTGGATTTTCATCGATGCAATTTAAACAGTGGTGGCTGAAAATATTCCCTTCGTACTAAATATAAAGTTATTACATCGCTTAATTTTACAAAGCTGCCCACTTTTCGGTATTAAGCGTGGAACTAGATTTAATTGAATTCTACTCTGATTCCGTTAATCGACGGAATGAACAAGCGAACAACCATATACTACATTCGAAAACTCCACGTTCCTGCACTCATAGTTTGCCACGATCAGTCATGAAACCTATGTACCCAATCAGATCGATCTTTTGAGCGGTCAAGCGTGTAGACCTTGTGTTATATGCGAGCACGGCGTCGGACTAAATGATTCACCATGATAATGACATCCTGGCAGCCTTCAGAGACAGGTGAGCGTGATGAGCATGAATCTCTCCGCCAAGCTGGACGAGCTACAACGCGGCGACCGCCAACTGGAGACCACGGTCGCGCTCTGCGAAATAAGGACACAGCTGCAAGAGCTCACGAAAAGCGTCGAGTCATGCCAAAGCGAAGTCTCCGAGGTAACTCCCGGCCGTCATCTTCCACCGCATCGCCGATAGCCATTCCACAATATCTGATGATCTGAACGTTAGAAAATAGTTCACAATATTGTTGTTACTAGGCTAGGAAGCACTGTGACTGTGGATTTTTCCGTGGGCACCAACCGAGGCGCCGAATCCGATCGAAATCGTTCGACCACCAAATAATTTTTTATCCAGGTTCTTTTTTTTTCTTCCCTCAAAAGATGTTACTCTTGTTAAAAATCTTCTTAAGTTGCAACGAATGTTTTAATATCCTTGCATTCAAACAGCTCCTTCATGCCAGCTTTTCTTGTAATCCGTGGGGTAAAAACCACTTCTCAGTATTATAATAAAACCCGCGGTACCTTCTTTTCGAAGCGTCACCACAATTTTGTGACAAGGTGCTTTATTTGCGAGGCCAATTGTGAATCAAAAATATCCATGGGTTATCGTCGTGGTAACATCACGAACTTTATATAATGAAATAGCTTATCATGTTCAGTGTACTTCTGTCACTACTGTGCGAATCAGGATTTCTTTAACTATTTATGCAAACCAATTCCATTGTACCTCCTTCAAATGCAAATATCACAACTAGCTTTCTACAAAAATACTTACACGTGATTCATTTTACATGGTACAGCATATCGATTCATTGACTTAAATACTTTCTATCTCCACGTCATTGATTCTATTATGAATAACTTACTAAGCCTTTTGGAATACAAGTTTACAGGCTCGTCAGAAATCTGTCAAAGACGTTGTGTTATAAAACTTTTAGTAATTTGCTTACGCAATATGATATTATGGGAAATCCTAAGAAATACCATCAAGTAAGGCAATATGCGCAAACACATTAATTTCAATCTCAATTTGATTGGCCCTTGAATTTCGGTGCCTACGGAAAATATTAAAATAAAGCCAGAGTTGTGTTAGTCACCGAAAATAATTATATTATGGGAAAATTAGCTGTTCTCATCGCTCGAATCAAATTAATGTATTCATTTTATGTATTAATTCATATATATATATATATATATATATATATATATTTTTATATATATATATATATATATATATATATGAAATTATATATATTTATATATATTTTTATATATATATATATATACCTACATATATATACACGCTAGAATTATCGTGTGCTAGGTTAAGCGTGATATGGTGGCCATCAAGCAGGAGTTGGACACGGTGCAGCAAGTGAAGGAAGAGATAGAAGAACTCCGAGAATATGTTGACAGGCTTGAAGAGCATTCGCAAAGGAGGAAGCTGAGGTTGCTCGAACAGGTACGCATACTTTTGTGTCGACAGACCTCGTGTTTGGATGTGAGAAAAAATATTTTTACAATTCGTTCCAAAAGAAGTCAAAGACCACTTCGGCTTTATAACGAGTACATTTTCAATTCAATGTTCGGACGCATTTAAAAGCGGATAACTGATAAACGAAGAAAAATTTACAAAAATGTTGTCATTTCTAAAGTTTCAAAAAAGTGTTGAAATATTAAGGGGCAATTAATTTCTCTTGGCTCATTAATTTATCTAAAGCATTTACAATTCAAACTGATTTCCTAGAGCGAGAAAACTACAAGCCTTTCCATTAAAGACCTGTTTCGACGGATCGATATAAAAAAAAGGCTAAAACTTGGTGAAATTTCACTGCGAATAAATTAAACCTTTTTTTCTTGCTACTACTGAATATGAAATTTCAAACATGTTACTTGTATGGGTTCACAAATAATTGATTCTAACAAATACCGTTCTCTTATGTTGGAATTACGGAACACTTTGTTTTTATAGTACGTGTATAATGGCGCTGCACAATTAAAACGACTTCAATCCAATATTGCTTCCGTGTACAATTAAAACAAAACGCTACCGTAAGTGCTGGAAATATTTAAAGTATTGTATAGATTATAATTCCATCCATCCTTTTAAGTGGTAGAACGAATCACCGACGAGTACCTTTCAGGGGAAGCGAAGTGATATGTAACAAAATTTTAGCATTTAAATTGTCGGGGTATTGGATTCCGACATGGATATTTTAATGCAAAACACTTATCGTTTTTTTGTTAAAATACATCGCACGAACATAAAACGAATCGACGTCGGAGTATTTTTCAGGCAACGGACGAAATTAAAGTGAGCTATTCAATTCAGAAATATTATTTAAAATACAGAACGAACTGTGAAGCGATTTAAATCACTCAAAATCGCTTACATTGCAAGCCCCGCGATGTTAATGCTTTTAATAAATTTATCCTGTAAAAACATTTTAATGGGCTATGAATTTCTTTTAACGATTACCTATTTCCCGAATTTCCAAATCTTAAAATTATTTCTCTCGATTGTTTCAGGGGCTTACTTTCTTCTTATCATACGCTATTCTGGCAGCAGTTCTTGGAATGCTGCAGTTCGGTTACAACACTGGTGTTATTAACGCTCCCGGCAGAGTGAGACTGGCTCATTAAATCATTTCATCCTAATAATTAATTAATTACTTTAAAAATTAATATCTATCGCCTAGCGTAATTTATCACCGTACGATTTTCTCGACATCTTTCTCTTTGCTCAAGCAGTAGCCTTTTACATTCTTATACTGCTAGCGAAGCGTATAAGATATGTTTTATCTACAGTGCGTTTCATGCGTTACCCTTTCTCAATAACGAATGTAACTTGGCTTCATTTTAATATTGTGTAATTTTATTTTAACAATGTATTTGACAATTTTTTTAAACAATTTGCTTGCCAATTACAGTAGTCTTTTCACATTTATTGTATAGTTTTTTTTCTTTCATTCTAAACTCCTATTTTGTGTTCGTTTGAAATTGAATTCGACTTTAATAACAGATTCTAGGATTAATCGTGAATTCTTCCGTCATTAAGTTTAAAGTGTCATTAATTTCTCTTCAGAACATCGAAAACTTCATGAAAGACGTATACAAGGATCGCTATGGCAAGGATATACACGAAGATACGGTGAACAGTTTATATTCGATAGCCGTTAGCATATTTGCAATCGGCGGCATGCTTGGCGGATTTTCGGGCGGAATGATAGCAAACAGGTTTGGAAGGTAGTGTCCACCGCTAAATGATTATTTACAATGTCATGCCATTTCTTATTCATTGGTTATAACTTCATGTTTAATCGCAGGAAGGGGGGTTTATTGCTCAATAATATCCTTGGCATCAGCGGCGCCAGTCTCATGGGTTTCACGAAAATCTCACACTGTTACGAAATGCTTTTCTTCGGCAGATTCATTATAGGCGTCAACTGTGGTAACTATAAAAAGCTTTAACTGTCTTCGAAATGAAAATGTTTTCCAGCCTTGTAGGCCAACGTATCGCGTTAAATCTTATTCCTAATTAGATCTTTAAGTCGCGAAAAGCTTAGAATTAAACATGTCAATTAATTATTGAAATCTGTAAATTCAAAAAACAATACAAGTAATAGTGTGTGCACAGGTGTAAGTAGTGGTAAGTCAATCGTTCTAAATTGCATACTAAATGGACATGGCTTCGGTCTAACGTTTAGTTAATTAATCTGTGACGGCCAACAAAGCAATAGCGGTGTTAAATTACTTATCACCGACTGCATTCTGACCGCAGGAATAATTTCGACCAGTGTTAACTGATACCTAGTCAATTGCATTCGGCGGTTACGCGGTAATTGACCGTTGTGTCGCAATCAAAACGAGACGGACAGCTGTAACACAAACATTAATAGCTTATTCAGATCATTTGCCCCTTTACCAAAGAATCTTCTTTATTTCCAGTCTAGAGTACTTACGAGAATCTCGCAGCAATTTTCTTTTTAAATTGCAAAGGATTACACGTACTCGCGATATTGAAAGACGCGATAACAATGTTGTTTGAAACTCAAACGTCGAGACTGGAAATAGATTTTTTCTAAAAGGCGCTGTATATAAAAGTCTGCTTTGAAGAGGATTTTTCTCTGTAAACCTTTTTTGATGTGAGCGTAGGCAGCTTAGTTAGTTTGCGAAAGCTTTTCAAATATGAATAGACTTGAATTTATTGCGACGAAATATATTTAGGGCTATTTTTAGATTAATCTGTCCTTATACAGATTAGTATTATAATCTGACACGCTCCAGTTGATTTTTAAAGCACGAATTGCAGGACTAAACACATCACTAGTGCCGATGTATATATCTGAGATAGCACCGCTGAACCTGCGTGGTGGGTTAGGCACCGTTAACCAGCTGGCTGTCACCGTAGGCCTACTGCTATCCCAAGTCCTCGGCATCGAACAGATACTTGGGACCGATGATGGCTGGCCTATTCTGCTCGGTGAGTAAACGAAGACATTACTTATAATATAACCAAATAATTCTGCAAATTCTACTGCTCCCTCAATGGTTGGTGAAAAGTTCCATGGCCACAAAGAAGATTAGCGTTACACAGAATTAGTTATATATAATTTAATGTTTAACTTAAATAATAATTAAAATTAAATGTTATCCAATAAACTCTTTAAATAAACATCGATGTCTGTAGCGATGGAAGCAAATTAATACTTAAAAACTTTTATACAAGAGGTAGTATTTTGAGAATCAATAAGTAAGTGTAATCCTCCTTTATTCAATAAAGATATTTGAATTTGAATTTGAATTTGTATAAGTCAGTCGGTTTTGCTGTAAGTGTTAATTCAGTAATGAAATTTAATTTGGTGAAGTTTATATTCGACAAAAGTTATTAGCTCACATTTTTATTATTTGAATATGGGATAGAATCGAATAGTGTAGTAATACTAAACGGTTTGTTTTCCTTTAATTTACTGTGTACATATATATGAACTCTTCATTAGTATCTCTCCTCATTAGTACATTCCAGTGTACTAAAACATTCCAGAACTTTTATTCTATCGAACTATTCTGACATCATAATATTTGATCCGACGCACGCGATTATTTGTTTTGTTCAACTTTGCACTGTTTTTGTTTTGTTATTATTTGTCAAAATAACATTATATTTATTAATAAGCATTGATTCCGATTACTATTGATACATGCGAGAAATCCTTATTTATTAAATGCAGCACAAAACTTAACGTTTATTGTGCTGAAATTGAACAATATTGTTTTAAACTAGCAGGTGCTTGAACATAAAAGCGCCATCTGGTGGTCTTCGAAACTTCCAAGAGATAGTAAAGTTGGTCGACAATGTAATAAGCAAGTTAATGTCATCTTTTCACGGTCCTTAGCTCGGGCGCAAGAATCGTCACAGGGCGAACAACTAAGTTCGATGTCGGAATAAATACAACCTTAACTTTCTTTTATCAACTTCAGCGGAAGTGTAAAAGAGGCGGAAACACTCTGGTGCTTTAAAAACAGTTTGTGGCAGTTGTTCGCCTTCTTTTGTTGGGCGTTTGGGGCAAGATTATTACCAGGCCTTTTCAAGTATTCAAACTTTGTTTGCTCTATTTAAAAGGTTAAAATTTACTCAAGCTTTAAAAGTTTTGCGTGGATGCTCATTTTCCGCGAGACCTTTTTCCGTCTTTTTGGGCTTAGGATCAATTTATTTTATACATAAATATTAAAAATGATAATGATGTTATAATGACGTTTAATTTTATTTGTTTAAAGTTCAATATTAAGAGAATCACCTGTCACGCCAAGTGTTTGACGCTGTTATCAGAGTATTTTTAGATTTTGCGTCGTCGTTGAGTTAGCATTTTATAAATCACATCAGGCCATGTTGAAATTAAACATTCAATCCATTTTGAACTTAAAGCGTGGTTTGAAGCAATGAAAGTAATTCAGCACGACATTCACGGGGCTTGACTGATCGCGTAGGTTTGGCGATCTGTCCGGCGATACTACAACTCCTACTTTTGCCGGCGTGCCCCGAATCGCCACGCTACCTGCTCATAACGCGTCAATGGGAAGAAGAGGCACGGCGGGCCTTGCGAAGATTGCGGGCTAGTAATCAGGCGAGTGGAATTCATAGCCATTGGAAGAAGCAAGGCTTCTTGGCTCTACGCCAAGGGGAGTTTACGAACATTTCATTTATTTGTTGAATATATATTTTCGTTGTCGACTTCATCAATTCTACATACATCATTAATTTTACGTTTAACAAACAAACTTGAGGATAATAGAGGCAAAAATAATTCAGATTCCCTTGTTATATGCATAGTGTACACCACATCTGCAATATCAGGAGTTTCAAAGCTGGATTATCCTTTAAACGTGCTTAGAAAACTAGTTAAACGAAGCTCCCATTTTATTATTGTGATTCTTTTCTCAGTTCTTCTATTTCCTGCATTCATGCTGCAACTTATCGTAACAACATTACTTTTAATGCCTTGCGCGGGTGCTACAGATCGTTTATTGCGAGTGTGAATACTCTTTAAATGTTTCGATACAAGTACAAATATCTACCGATATATAGCTCCGAACACTAGGCGCAAGTCGACTGCGCAACCCGATTCGTCAGGCTTTCGATGTGGAATGATAAACTCAGATTGGTAAATTTCACTCAGGTGGAGGAGGATATCGAGGAAATGCGCGCCGAGGAGCGTGCCCAGCAGGCGGAGGCATCCATTTCCATGCGAGAGTTGCTTTGCTCACCAACGCTGCGAGCGCCATTGCTTATCGGCGTCGTTATGCAACTCTCGCAACAGCTGAGCGGGATCAACGCGGTTCGCTATAACATTATACCCCAATAAATGATACACTGAACTCCATAATGTCAAATCAATGTGTAATCAGACACCCGAGAGTCCCCCCCACCAAGTAATTAACCAAGACCAACACCTTATAAGAATCCCTTCAGAGTATACTTCACATGTGGATTGCATTAGCTGATGTCAGCGAGCACGTATTGATGGGAACGTAAAAGTATATTGGGCGTATGTTCGACAGGTATTCTATTATTCGACGTCGCTTTTCACTTCCTCCGGGCTGACTGAGGAATCGGCGAAGTTCGCGACGATGGGCATTGGTGCGATCATGGTGGGCATGACCCTGGTCTCCTTACCGCTTATGGACCGAACGGGCCGTCGCACCCTGCACCTGTACGGCCTCGGAGGAATGTTCATCTTCTCCATTTTCATTACGATCTCCTTCCTCATAAAGGTGTGTCTTATATAAGAGCGTTGATACGTTGATACTGTTTATGATAACGATTAATCTAATTTCCTATGGACCAGCATTGTTATGTCTATACTGGGTCTATACTATATTCTATGGTCTATACTTATACTTCAATGATATATGTAAAAAAATATATTTAAATATTCCCAAATTTCTTGGAAACCCATAAGAACTAAATGGACATTTTAATATATTTTAACAAATTTCTATCAATATATATCGATTGTGTAGGCAATCTTCTTCTATTGTCTCTTAATAATAACCAATAACCACAAAAGGACAAAAGAGAAAAGAATATTTAGAAGCCTTTAACATAACACGAATAGAAAGTTTTTTGTGTTTCAATAACCTCAACTTTTATATTACCAAATTTATAGGCCTTTTTTCATATTAACTAAAAATTAAATTAAGCAACATCTGAAAAGGAAAGAATAGGCTTTGGCATGTTTGGTTTCGTGATACAAAAGACATGTTACACATTTTATACTATATAACTGTCATCAGCTCGTTACAATGTATGTAATGTGAAATTTAAAGAAAATTGCTAACAGTCGATTTATTGGCGAAATCAAACATTTTGAAATAGTCTGCTTTTGCACGCTTTTCCGAGTTAAATTTTTTATTATTTATGCTTTGTAGCTATCCTATCGCTTATTTATTATTTAAAATCCGATGAATATTCTAAATATTATTGATTTATCTTTTAGCCCCAACCTAATACGCCTTAGTAATTCTCATTTTTTTATTATAGTATTGGTCCCTTCTTGTACATAACATTATTCCTATTAAACCTAATATATAAAAACCTTACAAACAAGGTCCTGTAATTGATAATAAATTCTTTGGAATTACGCGCGTATTAGTTTAGAAAGTGGCAATAATCCTTGCATGAGAGCTTTTAAGTTTGTGTTTTATGTCCCCTCACGAGATCTGATTTAAGTTGCTTTAGCTTAGCGCTAGATGCCCCCCCCCCCCTTCCCCGCGACTTTCCTGTTTCCGAAACCGGAGTCTCGGTAGGGAAGATTGAAGTGAAACGAAATAAATTGACAAATGTAAATGTTATGAACATCACTCGTGGGGCACCCAACACATTTTTCGTTCATCACACGAGGTAAACTCGCAAGTCTACTCGATACTGTCACGACGAGCTCTGGCGCACGCGTTTGATATAAAGCGAAGTTTTTTCCCCACACACAACACTGCTCGAAAGCAGAAGAAGCACCTCTCACTATAGCATACGCATATGGAAAAGACATGAAGGTCTGTAAGCCAGCACTATTGTAATATCCTATCGAATCAGTGCATTTAGATGGATTAATTCCACACGCCGTACCTGCACAAGCCAAAACCAAGTATCACCACTCCGGACAGACATTAACACAAGCGTCATACGTGTGATGTGCATTTATGTTTGTTGTTTATTTCTAATCCGGTCGGTAACGGGAAAGGACGTCCTTACTACTCCCTGATAGGAGTTCTTCGGCTATGTGCAGGAGATGATAGACTGGATGAGCTACCTGTCCGTGGTGTCCACGCTGAGCTTCGTGGTGTTCTTCGCCGTGGGGCCTGGCTCCATACCCTGGCTGATCACTGCCGAGCTATTCTCACAGGGTCCGCGGCCGAGTGCGATGGCGATAGCCGTGCTAGTTAATTGGATGGCCAACTTTGTCGTCGGGATCGGCTTCCCCAGCATGAAGGTGCTTGCACACAAACTTAATCAATTGTCAAATTTTTGGGATTCTTTCCATGGCCAGATTTAGAGGTCTGGAGGCCTCGGGGCAACGAAGGAGTGGAGGCCCCTTGGCCCAAAATTATTTTCCATTGATTTCTGTTAATATTTAATGTTTGTACAAAGTAATGTAGGTAAAGGTAAAACGCGAAAAAAATTTGAAAGGAAAAGTTGTTTACTAGTCTGAATTTGAATTTGTTTTTCCGAAGTCTCTATTTTGGGGAGGCACTATGTTGTGGAGGCCCCGTGGCTGTTGCCCCGGATGCCCCCCCCCCCCTAAATCCGGCCCTGGATCTATCAATTAAGACGTTACGTGTCGAGCCTCTCAAAGTCGAACGTAATGCATCGTAAGTTATTTTCAGTTACAATTTCTAAGCCGTCATTATCAGTGTACGGGCGGTCGTTTTTAATTTTATACACTCGTACAACTTGAGTTCAAGTCCAAGTGCCGGCGCCGTTGAAACTATGCCGCTTGCTATATCCTATAGCAGGCCTGGTGGCGGAATCCGTCAGTCCAAAATCAACCGTGTAAATTGAAAGCGTATTATATTTTGTATAATAATATTATATGTCCAAATTCTTTGGCGAGGTTTGTAAAAATTTCGAAAGAATTTTTTAAACGCGCGCGCACAGTATTGCGATGGCAACTAATAACAATTTGACATTTACCTATTATTCTAAGTTATGCAATAAAACTTTTAGCAATTGCATATTATGCCTTTTTCAGAAAAAAAGAGTAATGTGGCACAGGGGATAATATTTTTTGTTCCTTTCCTTTTGTTACGGGAAGGAAGTGTAGCTTACATATTGCATATTTACATATTTACTGTACAGTAGCGTACATATTGTCCACACACGTTTTATTTCTCCAAGTGATTACCGTTTATTTCGCATTTTTAATTCCACAACGTTGAAGGTATTTCTACATCATCGTTTTGAAACTTAATGACATCCGTACTAAATGCAAATAAGTAAATGTCAATTCGAAGAGAAAATTGCCATCTATACGCTCTCCGTACTTTTTATTGAAAAAAAACAGGACGACTATAGTAACGCTCCGTTACCGCAGCCGGCCGACAACTAACGTCTAAATTAAAAGAGCCCTTAGCTCCCTTCGGGTTTTTTCCAATTGAACTAAACTCAATTCCCTCTTTGAATGATTATACTACCGCTAACTTATATTCTCCAATCAACCGTTTCGTTGCAGGCTCTACTGGAAAATTATACATTCCTGCCTTTTAGTGTATTCCTTGCGATTTTTTGGATATTTACGTATAAAAAAGTTCCTGAAACAAAAAATAAGACCTTCGAAGAGATATTGGCACTGTTCCGGAATTCGAATGGCAGGTGAGGAATGAAACACTCAAACTTTGTATGTTTTAACTTTTTTTTTCTACGCTCTCACCTGTGTCCCACATTTGCCGAACACAAACATCGCCAAATACACCTCATACTTCTATGGCACTTTTCCACCGGCAATATGTCATGCCAATGGGCACGCGATGCACGACCGGGTTCTAAGGGGAAACAGGTGTTTTAAAATAGATCCAGGTCACGTGTATTACACAAATTTGACTGGACAAATCGAGACGAGGATTTTTGAATGATATCTTTGGAAACTGCGGAATTCATTGACGCAGAATGTCACTGTCGTGTTAAACACTTGATGAAATAATTAACAATGCGCGGAGCGTTGTCGAATGCATTTCGTACTCGACGCACGAGCAGCATTAATTACACTAGAAACAACAAACGGCTGTAGCGCTGCATATCGCCTAGCCGTTTCGCCGGTCGAGCGCGTTAAAATTTCGGGAAATTGCGAAGGCCGAATTTCGAAACCGCGCCCACGCCTCGCTTGGGTAGCGTGCGAAAAGAATTGCGACGGCGCTTAGGGAACAGAGCGCGTCGGCAGCACGTACTGGTCGTGATGATCGTGTGGGTATGTCCAGGGACAGTTTTCGCGACAGCCGCCTGTACGGAAGCATGATGAATTGCGTGAACGCGCTCGAGCAGCAACTGCCGCCGCCGCCGCCGCCTGCGCCCGTCGACGAGAAACACGACTCACGTGAGTTACACTATGACACAACGCATAGCTTCACGACGCACTCCGATTACGCCGTATGCACATTCGTGTACTGTCCCCCACCGCGACGTATCCTGTGTCGGGCGCGATACGTCATGAATAACTTTTCAGTTACAATTATAATATCTCAGTGTCCGGCTCGCTTATAATTCAATTCCGTATAGAGGAGGCCTTTGCCCAGCTTGGGACATATTAAGCCTTTGTTTCTTTACTCTTTTTGTTCCCGCGTTTTTTTTACTTACGGATCGTTTGTCGGTCGAACGTACACGAATGCGTATCAGACATAGCCATTTCTGTACATTCTATCTTGCTGAAACTGTTTTTATGTATCAGATCTCATACTTCTCTCTCTTTTTCTATATTCTCCTCACGTCCACGCACACGTACATTCAATATAACAACGCATTGCTTTCGTACTCGTTGTGCATTGTAACACTTTTAAAGACGGCATCTGTTAACACAACTTAATGCAGTAAGTTTAAATTTGTAGAACGGAATTCGAACACAAATAAACGGAACTGGTTACAATTTTTTATTTTAGTGCAGGGAAAGTATAGTGCGATTGTGTAAAAGAACGCTTTTGAAATAAATGTACAAAATTCTGATGGAAAATTGGATTCGATAAAATGCCTTTCCATAGTTGCCCTATCGTTTCCTTTGTATAACTGCCAATGGTATATGTATTTTAAATGAGTGTCAGTGATTTGACAGGCTTGTTGAAGTTAATAACGCTCGATAATAAGTAGTAAGATTTCTTCTTCATAATTTATTTATTATTTTTTATTTATCTAGGCATAATTGCCGTTAAGGATAAAGATATAAAGGTAACAAAACGGTGGATTTTAATACCCAAAATCATCGTCCACCAGCCATCCAATGTGCTTCGTGCTTATGTGCAGCAAAGGTTGCAATAGTGCCATTATGTTAAATTGGGAGAATGACTATTAGATAATAATAACATTTAAATTAATATAAATATTTAAATGGAATTTCATACATTTCAGATTATGTCGGTACTATTTGCACACACCAAAAGCTCTCGTGGCCCTTTCGAACTATTGAGTTACGAGCGATGGATTTCATAAAATATATTATATACATGAATATACTTGAAGCAATCGTTAACCACGCACACTGCACTATACTGAAGATAAAGGAACACATAATTTCCTTTCGGCACTGGCATTTAAGGTTTTAAGGATATTGAAAGAAGAATTCCTGATGAATGACTGAATGTGTTCTGTTGACAATTGCTTCTGATGATATCCGGATGAGTCTAGTTGATCATGTATGATTTGCAAGACTGCGGTTGTAAGATGGCCGTTGCAGCGCCGAAGTGGCTTGAGTTTGGGTCCGTTTCCATCTGTTGACAGTGTCGGAGCAGTCGTCGGCGGGAGGGGAGGGGGGAAGACCGCCGCCGCCGCTGCCCCCGCCACGCTTCCCCACCCCCGGCAACGTCTGACAATGGGAGATAGCTGCGCGTGCGCCGCTCGTGGCCCCCATCAAGGCCGCCGCCAACTTCTTGTTTCATGGACTCAAGCGACAAGCCGCGGCCCACGCCCCTACCCCTACCACACAACAGATGTTCTAAATCGATGTGATTACTTTAATAAATAAAACGAAATATAGCCTTTAAGTCACAGCGTAACGTTTAACATAGCTCCTTAGTCTGGTCATCCTGTGACGTAACTTATCGAATGCACGGGCGCCATGTATCGTGTGTGCAACTGGTTTCTTGTACCCATTTTAATTAGGCCTCCATGGAAATTCATTAAAGGAAAACTTAAAACAACGGATCGGACAAAATTTATAGAATTGTTAATTAGCAACACGGCCCGGCCTCCGTGGCAGCCGTTTCAAACAGACACACTAGCTTCGGAAATTAATTATAAAAGGTTTACTGATAAGTATGCGGCGACGTCGACGACTATTCATTATAAAAAAAAAATTGTAGATTTTTAACGAATACTTTCTAGAGTGCAATGACTGCGAGTTTTGTACGGAACGCGTACTCGATTTATAACGCACTGGTCATATGCCAATACGTAGAAAAATAACCTAAAATGGGTACGACGTGTAAATCGTGCTTACCACAATGACTATTGAATTGTCGCGGATATGTATAAAGAATACAATGTACATACATGCTGTGACTTTATTATATTGTTGATTTTTTATACATAATTATATTATTTTACAAATGTTTTATTGTCCTTTTACTCATAACTATTATTGTTATATCTAATGATAAATTAATGTCATATCCAAATTGACCGAGATATTTGTAATAAACTATGAATTATTATAAATACCTTAATACCATTCTTATTACTATTATTGGACAGCTACGGTTTTATTGCAGTTGCGGGAATTGATTATATTTATATACATACATATGTATCTGTATACCGTTGTATGATTTATTGTAATTAATGAAAAAGAAAGCAAATCATTAGAAAAATTTACATGATTTCGACTGTAACGTTCGTCATTTCTTTTAATTACATTTAAAAATAGTTTGTAAAACTTTTTTTATTCATAGCCATGACAAATGATAAACTGACATATTATTATCTTTTTAATTAAAGAAAAAATGAATAGAGTACCTATGGTAAGTTATACAATTTGTGAAGACTTTTAAGAATGTAAAGCTTTTAAACTTATACGCCCCTAGAAAACGAGGAAAAGTTTAATTATTTACTAGTTAGGGTTCAGTAGATACCACAGGGTTGTAGTCAATCTGTTCGTCCGTGCATCTGACATTGCTCAATTCAATATTAAGATAAGTGGTTTCAGTAGCGTGTCGTATGAGAATGGAGCACGGCCTAATATGTGTAATATCGACTATAATCCTGTCGTAACGGGGACTTTGCACTGTATGTTTTATTTTAACCACCGCTATTTACGACTGATGAAGGCCCCCATTACTGTCGCCTAAGCCCTAAGTTCAAACCAATGTTTGCCTAAATGATGTTACCAGTTTAATTTATTAATAAACCAAATATCAAATTAACCCGTCTCAACTATGTTCGCCATTCAGATCTCCCGCTACGTCAACGTTACACGAAAGCAACGCATACTAAACACGCAAAAGGAACGAAGTACTGTACTTAAAGTGCAGGAAGCAAGTGACAATTCTAAACTAATAGATTATAATATAACGTTTTTATATAAAGAGATATATAGATAGTGTACCGTGGACAAATTATATTAATGACGCATTTTATTAATAAAGATGTAATTTTTTATGTCAATTAATGACTTACAATAAATAACAATAATGAAAAATAAAAATAAAAAAATAGAAATTACAAAAAACATGTCTCCCACTAGAACGCTTTCTTCGTCTATATTAAAAGTTTAAAGTCTATATATTCTAAGTCAATACAACCGTGCGAACATATACACATACGAATAAATATATTATATATATGTATATACATAAATGTATATCAGTATATATATACATAATATATAGTTCGCACGCTTTAGATATTTACGGTCAGATATATTTACATTAATATATCGAATCATGTACAAAATTTAATACCAACGATAGCATAAATCTAGTACAATAGTCCTTTAATGTAAGTTTCGTATAAATATAAAGATATTCATGGGTCTCTACACCGCAACTCTAAAATTAACACTAGTAAACTCCCCTTATAGTAACTACTAAGCTGAAATTAAAATAAAAAAGTCAAAAGAAGCTATTATTCCCTCTCATATTCCTTTAGTGCTAATGCTTTGGAGAACGCCACAATAATGAGAAAATTAGCAAATGTGATTCGAATCAATAAGAGAAATAAAACCGCGGCCTTTTCATAATATATGAAATAGTAGTGGCAGTTCACACTTAGCAGGAAACAATTTATATTCTTTATCTTAAACGTTGCAAATTTTCTTGACTTCTTCTACACTTCAGTATTTCCATATTCCCTCATGAATATTAAACAAGTGATATAAATAAATCTGTACGGATAAAGACTGTAATGATACAAAATGCTGTGCAAACATCGCCTCAGTAAGTTTTTAGATAGGTTATAAGTTAACGAAACATATTATACAACATTCTAAACTAAATAATGACAATATTTGTCGTGTTTCGCCACCTGCCATGAACTAGTTAAGATATCGTGAAATTTACAGCAGTCATTTATATATTTATTATAGTAATGTTATTGTGAGATACGAGATGAAACGTGATTTATCGCTGTACGTTTACTAAAAGTTCGCAGATTGCCATGTTGAATATAAAATAATACGTTATACATTTTTAAATATTTTATTAAAGGAAATTTAAAAAAAAATCGTTCGGCACATCGGTTTTATTGTTCGCTCAAGAGTATTATAAGCAATTATAGTATAGAATCGATCGGTTGTTCCGCGAACGTAGTGGGAACGTTTATTCGTGTTTGCTGATCTGTGTGTAGAATCACGTGTCGGCACTGGATGCACGGACGAACAGATTCTTTGGGGACACGATATCCCGTTCGCTAGTGAGTGACCCTAAATCCTTCTAAAGCACTATCCACAGTTATTGCCACGGTTATCTGAAACGCGTTTAAGTTTCAACACGCGGGGATTACTCCGTTACTTGTACAAAAGGAACTTGTAAAATTTTATTGGAACTAATACTTGTTATAAAAACTTGAAAAAACACAAACATGCCTTTTATTTCCAATATTATACCCTCGTGCAGTTTAAACATCGTAATGAATGCCTTGAAATAATAGAAACATGGTTTGAAGATGATAGAAGACAAAGAATCAAACAGCTTTAATCAAAAGCAGGTAATATTTTTTTTTCTAATTATTCATCTGAATCAGGATTCGAACTGAGTACCCTAAAAAATATGGTTAAAACCCATCTTTTCAGATACGTAATGCAACTATTCAAATAGCTCTACCACCCAGGTAATTAATTTAACAAAATTTTCATAAGTAAGAATCAATATAACAAAGTAAATATAACAGAGTAAAGCATTAATATAAGAAAACAACACAGGATAGATAGAAGTTCAATTGTTTAATTAAGTTTTTTTTTAATAAATATTTAGTACACATTTTTACACAACGTTTTCTAGTTCCAAACTAAGCAACGCTTGTACTATGGGCACCAGATAACTGATAAACATACTTTTCTTTTGTAAATAAATACATATTATAGATATATAAACACCCAGACACTAGAAAAACACTATGTTCATCAAACAATATTTCTCCAGTAGTGGGGATGGAACACACACCCTCTGGCGCAGAAGGCAGGTACACTACCCACTACGCCATTCGGGTCGCCAAAGTGGTTTTTAAGTTCTAATATCCCTTGAAAACGACTAGGCCGCTAACGAATCGAAGTGGAAGTCAATGGGGGAGTCCTATGTTCAGCAGTGGACGTCCTGCGGCTGATATGATGACGATGATGATCCCCTGAAAACGCAAATCTAATCTAGCGCGTAGTTCTAGCAGAGCTCGCGGTGCGAAAGTCGTTTCAACCCGTTTGGTTATAGGTCGCGAGTCTCACGCAGCTCAAAGGACTGCTGAGCCCTGGGATCAAAATCAAACGCGGCAACGATTAGATGCCTAGGGTCACGCATTCCAAACGGCTGCTGAAATATTAGAGCAACTAGGGCACGTCGACGTCATGCGTCACTCACTATGCACTGCAGAGTGCCATGAAGAATAACAAAGATGACGTTTTTGTTTGCATTAAAATGTATCATACATAGGAGGCATTTCAAGACCTTGCTATTGATTATGACTGCTCGACTATATTGATCATCGATTGGTGCTCGGATGGTTAAAAAGATATAGTATATAGATATGGTGATGCATTAAAATTGAAAGAGAATTTATGAGCAGCTTTTAACTGCTTACAAATGATGAGCCTTTTAAATGATTATAATGATACAAGAGTCGTACCAAATAGTAATAATAGTGATCTAACGATAAAGCGTTGAGATCTAAAATAACGTGTCGACTTAGTTACTAAGCGGCTCTTTTGATCTCGGCTGCGCGCCGGCAGCGGCGTTCTTTTTTAAAACTAACCGTCCGCCTCTTAGAGCACAGCTGTGCAACATTTAACTAGGTACCTAGTTATTTAAGACTGATTACAGTTATTACTTAGTGCGAATAATAACATGTACGATTGTTAAGTGAATAATTATGTACAATTGTTGATTTTAATAATATACAATTACAAATAAACAATGTGTTTTTTTAACTTAATGTTTGGATATTAATTAGATTTCGAGATCAATGCACAGCGTGCGACACGGCTACATCTTTAAGGAACCTCAGGTCAGCTGCGCCGTGGTCGTCTATTTGTGACTTTGACGTTACGATGACAAGTACTGCTGTGCTTTAATACTATTTTATTTGTAATGATTGTTCCTTATTCATGCTATTAAAAGTAGGGAGTGGGGAGTAAAAGAGTGGGAGATAGCACAAAAGGGATAAA